ATAATCATCTGCAGTTAGACTTACCTCATCGATTTATCTCAGTGATTTATAGGTTACCCGATAAATGCGCATGAAGCCGGTCACATTGTTTATCGTTTTAACATCTGTGTCGAGTACAGGTAGTAAAATTAACAGCAATCACATTAGAACCGGATACACGAAGTCAACGTATATCAAAGTCTTTCAATCAGAACGCTGGGAAAGTCGATGTGCTGCGATACGAAATAGCCAGAAAACCAGGACTGATACAATTATAAAACAAATTGTCGTACTTGAGAAACGCTTCGGGGGACAGTGCACCGATAGGAGTTAGCTAGCTGAAGGAAAAGCATAATTTATTTGAATGCTCTTCTCTGGTTCGTGCATCATTTGTTTCAAAAAGGAGGAAATTCACCATCTTCTGAAATAAAAGTATAAACTCAAACAGCAGTGACAGGGAATCGATAAATTATACCAGACCATAAGAACAATAGAACTTAATGGTCTATGACTAAACCTGTGTTTCATGCACCAAATTTATCTGATTCGCCACACTCGCTGACTTGCACATTCATGTGAAAGTATTCATGCCGAAAATTATGCTAATTTGAGCTACTGGGAGGAGACTGCATAATTTCACTCTTAAACAATAATAAAACCAACGACGCCCAATCACATTTTGGTACATAACAGTCACGTGATTGTGAGTAAAATGTTACCAATCATCGGTATCCTACCGGAAGGTACATGTGGAAACAATATAAAAGCCAGCAGTTACCAGCAAATAACAACCCAGAGAAAATGAAATCAAATATCGTGAAAATATTACTGATCACTGTGTGTGTTAGCGTGGTCGTTGGTAAGTAATCCGCTGTTGGAGAAAACTATTTTGCAATACTAGCACAAAATAAACAGAGTTGTAAAGAAGTCGTCGCATCGGATGAAGTACAGCAGGTCACTGTATTGGTTAGTGGCACCGGTTGTCAGTATCTTGTTAAATCGGATTCCGGTAAAGCGGTGAAGGTCTACGTTAATGTGAGTGAATGACAATTCAAATGAATTTAATTGAGACAGTGAAAGGCAAATATCGTTTATATTTCCGAAACATTTCATTTGTTTACAGGCAACGAGTGGAACCAAATGTGTAAAGGTGTCCAGTGACGGGAAATCGGATACTCTGTGCCCATCAGGTGCAACAAACCAGATTTCATCCAGCTCACCGATTGAGGTGAGTGCGGATTCCGACACGACCAGTCCAGAGGAAACGACAACACCAACTGAAGCAGCAACAGAATCGACCACAACGCCTACAGGCCCAACTGATCCCAAATCTCCGGGAGAATCGGGGAAGGAAGACCCGTTGCAAGATCCACAAGGCCCAGCATCTGGTAAAGAAGGCCAGAACTCGGGGTCTGGTACAGAAAAAATAGAAGAAGCTGCTCCGTTGCCTGGACTTCTGCGGAAAGCCAGGGCTAATTCGGAGACCAATGCATCTAACGACGTAATTGTGTACTACGTATTAGGTGAGAATTAGAGAGCAGCCCATGGGCAGCACATATCAATTGATACTCAAGGCAAACAACTGATCTACGTATACTTTTTCGCTATTCATTTTGTTTTTTTGTTCTTATGGAAAATCTATTTA